TGTTGCAACTTCAGCTCTGACAGCTGGAGGTTTCTGGAGCTTGTTTAGCTTCTATAATTGCAACATTCTTTCTTAAAGTGCAAGCTCAGAGGCCGGCAGCTGCAGGTGGGGAACGTTGGCTTCCTCCTTCACTGGAGCAAGCAAGCCTCCTATTCGCTTCAGCTGCCTGGCTGCCGGTCACCATCTTGGTTGGCAATTAATTTGCATATCTCACTGATTAGCCAATGGGAAGGATAGCGAAGTTACGGTTAATTACCATGTTTCTCTATTATTAGATAGGATTACACTTATGGCTCTCATTATACTTCTATTGGGCAATGCTATTCTAGACTCAAGTAATGCACCTCAGTTTGGAAATTTAGACTGAAGGAGACCTACTGAAGGGAATGCTAAATGTGCAAGAGCTTCTCATAGTGTCCTTTTATTTTTTTACTAGATGTAAAAATACACTAGATGTGCACCATGGGAAGGACAGGCACTCCTGGAGAGTGGCTCAGATGTGTGAGGTATTTCTGTGTTTTCTAGGTGCCCAAGGTACTACAATGATTGCCCTAGTTGGTTTTTCTCAGTGGTTAGAGTTGCGGGTTCAATTCCAGTCAATAACAAGTACCTCAGTTGCAGGCTTGATATTGCTCTCTGTCTCTCTCTCCCTCCCTTCCACTCTGTCTAAAAAAAAAAATGAATCAATGGAAAAAATATCCTCTGGTGAGGATTAACAACAACAACAACATGATACTACAGGGATCAACAGTAGTATCTTGTTGTCAGACTTCTGTTCTTTGGAGCTTACATTTCAGTGCATAGGTATTTTCTCAATGGGGAGAATAAAATAAAATGATAAAGTAAATCTAATCAGTGATGTTTTAGAATGCTACAAGTGGCATTTTTATTAGTTGGGATTTGAAGTGGATTTGAGATTTCTCATTTGTCTTTCTTAGGGAATTCGAAAAATTGAAAATGGAGGCGCATAAAGCACTACATCTCTAGTACTAATTAGTATTTTCAGAATGTCAGAAGACATTTTTAAAGCTTCAAATAAAATAATTAGACACTGTTAAAGGAATTCCCAGCAATTGGGGAGAAGTCTTGGCATACTTTTCAGCTCTTCTTTCTTCTGTTGGGATATCCTAGTCTGCAGGGATGACTTCCCTTTTCACTCAACACAGACGCACTCCTTCTTATTCTCTTACAGACCGAGTCCTACCCCTTGCACAGGTTCTCTCTCTTCTACATCTTCACTTGCATACCTTCACCCCTTCCCTTCATCCTGGTGTCTTTTCAAGCACAGGTTCTTTAAATATGGCATTTCCCCCCTTAAAACTCAGCCAGTAGATGTCTCTATTACTCTCTAATAGCCAAGACCTCTGCAAGTAGGTTTTAATCATTTCTTTAAGCAACAAGAAGGAGGATTTGATGATTTGCCAAAAATGAGCAGATGCTGAGGAGCACACGTCTCCATCCTACGTCCTTCCCCTCTGATTTAAGTCAGAAATGAAAACTCCTTTCTCCCTCTTTTTCAGGCAAAAGAAAAGGCTGATTGAACTAAGCAGGCAAGACGCCAACACCCTCCTCCTCAGTACGTTCAAGTTTCCTTTGCTCTGAGCCACAAAAGCTCTGCTCTCCCCACCCTCCCGCCCACCTCATCCCATCCCCTCAGCTTTCAGAGTCATCGGGGAACGCGAGTGGGTGAAAGGACTCAGCTCTGCTGCATCTCGCGCCACCGCCTCCTCAAGCGCCTCCTCTGTGCCGCCTCGGATTCAGCACTGGACAGCTCCCGCCCCATGCCCAACAAATAGCGGTCGGCTGATTGACAGAGGAGTCGACCACACAGGGAACAGGACGACTTGAAGCCGCCCTACAAGGGTTTGGTTGCGGCCAAGCTGCCTCTTTCAACCAGCTTTCCTCCCGATAGCAGGGAGAGGCAGGAGTGTGGTTTGTGGGCAAACCTAAAGCCTCAACGAACCAGCTGCCTGGCCCTCTGGACCCCAGAGGACATTCGTCTTAAAAGGAATCTTCGCTCTGTGAGGCTGGCTCCTGCGCTCGCGGTACCGGTCTGTGTGTGCGCGCGCTCCGCGCCTCGGGCGAAGCGAACCGGGAGGAGGAGCCGAGCCTGGAGGCGGGAACGACCTGCCGCGGGTGAGATGATGGAGCAGCGTTTTCGGCGGCCGCGGCGGCAGCATCAGCAGCACCAGCTCTTGAACACACCTCGATGAGAACGGCGGTGGAAGCGGCCGAGCAGAAAGACGTAAGCAGGCTAACTATAGCTGCCGGGAGCCAGAAGGGAGGTAACCTGTTCGGCTCTAGGCTGCGAGGTGCGTAAATCCCCAGCCGACGCACCGCGGAGCGGCTGCAGCCAGCGTTGCCACAGGTGATTCGATTTCCTGTGACGGTAGCTTAGCCAGTGGGCCAATTTCGAGACAGTCTTATTTTGAAGTCCTTTTCGACTGGGTGCCATCTGGAGAAGGGGGAAGACTCCTAGGCAAAGTCTTACTGTGGATACACTGACGACCAAAATTTAAAAAGTGACTCCTCCCTTTACCTCCTCTCCTGTTTGAGAGAGAGGCAGATGGGAGCCATGGCTTATCCTTTACTTTTCTGCTTCCTGCTCGCTCCTCTGGGACTGGGAGCTGCTGGTGCCAGCCGCGACCCTGCGGGACGGCCGGGTTTCCCTCGAGAGAGGACCCTGAGGGCGAAGCAGCACGCCCAGCAGCCGGCTCGAGCCTCTGCCTCGGACCCCTGGGCTCCCGGGAGCCGCTCCACCGACGGCACCATCTTGGCGCAGAAACTCGCCGAGGAGGTGCCCATGGACGTGGCCTCTTACCTCTACACCGGGGACTCCCTCCAGCTGAAGCGAGCCAACTGCTCCGGCCGCTATGAACTGGCGGGCCTGCCGGGGAAGTCGTCAGCTCTAGCCAGCTCCCATCCTTCTTTGCACGGGGCGCTGGACACGCTGACACACGCCACCAACTTCCTCAACATGATGCTGCAAAGCAATAAGTCGCGGGAGCAGAACTTGCAGGACGACCTGGAGTGGTACCAGGCGCTCGTGCGGAGTCTCCTGGAGGGCGAGCCCAGCATCTGCCGGGCGGCCATCACCTTCAGCACCCAGTCGCTGTCCGCGTCCGCGCCCGCGTCCACCCCGCAGGTCTTCCTCCAGGCCACGCGAGAGGAGAGCCGGATTCTGCTCCAGGACCTGTCCTCCTCGGCTCACCACCTGGCCAACGCCACGCTGGAGACCGAGTGGTTCCACGGCCTCCGGCGCAAGTGGCGGACCCATGTGCAACGGCGGGGCTCCAATCAGGGCCCTCGGGGCCTGGGCCATAGCTGGCGGCGCAGAGACGGGCTGGGAGGGGACAAGAGCCCTGTCAAGTGGTCTCCTCCTTATCTGGAGTGCGAGAATGGGAGTTACAAGCCCGGGTGGCTGGTCACTCTCTCCGCTGCTTTCTACGGGCTGCAGCCTAACTTGGTCCCGGAATTCAGGTAGGGAGGGATAAAAAAATGTCCAAAGCACATCCTTCCTTCCAGTTTCGTGGGTGGGTGCGCGTGTGGGGAAGGGACACGTGGATGTGACACTGACGCCTCCCCACCCTCACAGCAGAGACTGAGGCTGAGCTACACCCCACGCGGGCTTCTGTGCTTGGGGACTAGAAGCGCCCCACGTTGGTCAGTTTCAGACACTCAGTGAAAGCGTCTCTCAGATCAGTTTCCCTGCAAGGAGCTAGGGACTGGGGAGTGGCGAGAGCAGGGCTAGAGCTGAGAAAAACCTCTGATGTCCCACCCTTTCCTTCAATTCTTGGAAGAGCTGAGAGCGGCTGTGAGTTCCCAGTGAGGGGTGATGCTAGGAACCTGGGGGGACCTGGGGAGCTCCCGTGTGCCTGCTAGGCACCCAATGGCCAGCACCGGATGCGAGAGAAAAGGGACCCAGAGGAGAGAGTCCCTAATTTCTGCCACTTCAGGGTAGCTTTGCCTGCTTCCTATGCCTGTCGTTTAGGGCACCGGTCTCTTGTAATTAAAACAGGGCACCCCCCTTGGCAGTGCTGTTCCCTCAGCAGTGAGTCAGACGCTCAGCTGTCTTCAGGATCCAGACTTTGCAGTTTGGTCGGTTCCTTCTCCTCATTTCCCTGCTCCCCGCAATCCACATCCCCTTCCTTGATCCCCTCTCTCCTGTTCTCTGTTCTCGGTGTCAGGCATACCTAAAAGTTCCCCTGCCCTTCACATTCCCCTGCATGTCATGAAGGAACCTGGCTGCCTTATTTTAGGGCGGGAGGGAGGGATTCTTCTGACTGAACTGACTCAGGGACCTAGGAGGGAACTTATTATGTATTTCCTGCCTCAGGGTATTGCATGTGTGGGAAGATGAGAATTTGCAAATTAACAGGTGGTAACTTCTGCCCTGGGAAGAGCCTGATCTTTGAGGTGAGAAACTTCTAGAAGTAGCCCTTAAGAGTTCATGTGAGGAAGGAACAGAGAGATCAGAAACTCCAAAGAGGGCCACAGATTGACCAGGATCCTCCCCAAATCCCACAATGTGAGGCTCTGGAATGGGTGGTGGTGGTGGTGGTGATGTGTGTGTGTCAAGGTTGCTTCCGTATTTTTTTGGGAACCTGGGCAAACGTGAGAAACATGTGTGCGTGCGTGTGTTCTAATGCTTTGTTTGGCACAACAAGGGAAGGATACTGACTGGGTGAAATATACCAGGCTGAGTTCTGGGTTGGCAAATGGGGGAGTCAGAAAGCTTCTTTGTCTTGGTGCTGTCATTTACTGCTGAATGACCTCAAGTAAGATACTTAACCTTTCTGGGCCTCAGCTACTTATCTATCAAGTCAGGAAGTTGAACTAGATGGTCTCTAGGAAACTAGCAGTTATAAAATTCTGTAGCTTTTAGTGCTGGCAGCACTTTAGAAGGCCTAAATAAAAACAACCCCCTTTGATTCTGTATGACCATATTTGTGTGTGTGTGTGTGTGTGTGTTTTCTATCTCTTTTAAAGATCTTGTTTTAAACCAGAGTAAACCTTTCCTACTTTCAGGATAATCTCATTTCTTCCTGACTTCTGCAGGATCCTATTTCATAAAAGCTGATACATGCTTTGAATCTTTGCCATGTTATTTGCTCAGAATAGGAAAGCTCAGCAGATGCCATTCACTGCCCAAAAATTGTTTGTGACCTTCAGATAAACCTGAAAAGGGGGTCCCAGAGCCCAGGATCAGTCAACCAAACTCATTCCCTCCCTCCCTCCCTCCCACCGTTCTTTCCTTCTTCCTTCCTTCCTTCCTTCCTTCCTTCCTTCCTTCCTTCCTTCCTTCCTTCCTTCCTTCTTCCTTCCTTCTCCTTACCTGAGTTTTCCTCCCTCCCTCCTTTCTTCAACATTTACTTTATGCCAGGCTCTGTGCTAACTACTTTACATATATCATCTTAATTAATTCACACAACAACCCTATGAGTTAGGGTTTATTAGTTTCTCTTATTTTACAGAAAGAGAACCTGAAGCACAGGGAGATTAAACTTTTTTCCCCGGAAGTTAAGTAGTAGAGCCAGTGATTACATCCTTATAACCACTATGCTAAATGCTGTCTTTTGAAGGTGTCCTAGGTTTGCTACATGTAATATAGTTGCTGCATAAAAATATGTGTATTTTAAGCATCGGACATGAGACTGGGAATGAGAGCCATTCATTTTCAGAATTATTTCTCTTAAGGCTCAGAAAGCATAGGTTACCTAAATCAACTCAGTGCCTCTGCCAGACAAGATAAAAGGCTGAGGACCCAAAGGGTCTGAGGCTGCAAGGACTACATGCCCCCTACCTATTTTTTGGACTGCATTCAGAAAATAGTTTCCTCTTGTGGAGCCTCTTTAAGTGCTTTCATAGTCATCAGTGGTGTTCTTTAGCCAAGGCATGAAGCCAGGCCATTTAGTGTCTGGCTTTCTACAGAAGCTGGCTTGTCCTGGCAGCATGCATGGAGGGCAGAATAAGTGCTCTCATGTGAGTGCTTTTGCCCCACGTCCTCTGCTTCTCAAATGCTGTATTGAGGATACACACAGATGTTAATTATAGGAACTGAATGAAGAAACCTTAAAGAGATCATCAGATGGTTCCTCTGTTGTTTAGTAGATTAAGACACAGAACCAGAAAGGTGAAGTGCTGTGTCCAAAACTCATGTAGTAACAAAAGAAACAGAACGCAGCACCCTGGTTCACACTAAGATTGATATGTATGTATCTTAATCATATTTTTTTTTGGCTCTCTGGACTTTTGTACACAAAGTATGTTGGGGGACATAGTTTACTCTATCATCTTTTAGGGTAAAAATGAACCCATATAACATAGCTCTTAAGTTTTAGGGAAAATATTACATTATTTCACACATTTGAAATAATATTTAAATGGGCCATTTTTGTTTTTTTCATACTCACAAAAAGCAAAGGTTTTTTGTTGATAACCTCTTATCATCTAAGATGTGTACTCTAATATTCTAAAATATGGATAAATAATATTGTATAGGTCTGCCAACAGTGTAAACCTGAAATGAATTTTTGGGAAGTCATGATTAGGAGCTCTGTTCATGATTTTAAATACATTTGAATCTGTAGAGTTATTTGTAAAAAACCTTATCTGTAATGAAAAAAATTCTATTAATAGTGGCTTCCTTATGGAAGAAAACAGGAGGAAAAACTTCATAGTTAAAATTTTTATTTAAGATCAGTTAATATTTTCCCAGGTCTTGCTTACAGGATTCAATCATTTAAATTACATTATATTTTATTTTTTGAGATTGTAAATCCAAAACACGAAATTCAAAGGCAATGTTAGAACATGGTCAACTACTATCTTATATTAATGTTTATCACTGTAAAAAACCTCTCAGAGGTTTTATTCCTCTCTGTTTCAGAATGACACAAGTATCTTAAATTTTAAAGTTTAATGTGAGACTCACATGGAAAGAGAAATTTATTGTTCATTTCTTTCTTTTCAAAAATGCTATTAGTTGCTCTAACTAAATGCCTCTTGAGTCTTCTGTTACAGTCCTATAGTATAAACATTTTAATTCCCATCTTCAATCCTAGCCAAAAAAACAAACAAAAAACAACCCACAACAGAGTAATAATTTAAGTTATATTCTAAATTATTTGTATTTATCACATTAGGTTTCTGATGTCCTGTGTAGAGTTTTCCTGAAAGTTAAGCATTTTGTTTTGCATAGAATTCTTTCTTTGTGTACCTTAAAATACTATGCAGTTGGTCCCATCCTGTGGTATTTGGAATTGTTCATTGCCTAGGATGGGTATAAGGTACTTAAGTGTTTGTTGAATTTAAATTAATGTGAAGGAATCTTTGGGAATTATTATTTATTGATGAACTGAAAGGTTCTTCGGAATTCACTTGTTATTTTTTTTCATCTCATCTTATTTTTTAAATAGATTTTTATTGATTTAAGAAAGGAAAGGAGAGGAAGAAAGAAACATCAATGATGAGAGAGAATCATTGATTGGCTGCCTCCTGCATGCCCCTCACTGGGGATCGAGCCCACAACCTGGGCATGTGCCCTTGATTGGAATCAAACCCGGGACCCTTCAGTCCTCAGGCCGATGCTCTATCCATTGAACCAAACTGGCTAGGGCTTATCTCATTTTAGAGTGGAAGAAATGGAGACCCAAAGGGCTAAAGGAATTTGCTAGCGTGGCACAGTTCTTTAGTGGTAGTTTGGAAACAATGGAAACCATTATATATTGAGCACCTATTATATGTTTGGTGTTTTATATATACCAGTATATTTAATTATTAGTACTCTCTGGTAGTTAAACTTCAGAAAAGTTGAGCAATCTGCCTGACTGGCATGGCTCAGTGGTTGAGTGTCAACCCACGAACCAGGATGTGGGGTGTGCAGGAGGCACCCAATCAATGATTCTCATCATTGATGTTTCTATCTCTCCCTTTCCCTTCCTCTCTGAAATCAATAAATAAAGACATATATTAAAAAAAGGTTGAGCAACCTGACCAAGGTAACATAGCTAATAAATTCGGGAGCCTAAATAAGATTTAGATCTACTTAGCTATGAAGCTTGTATTGTCTTTCTACTACCTTATGCTGCTATGTCTTAGCAATTTTGTTTTCACCTTGTTATTAAAAATATAATATGATAATGGCTTCAAACAATTAACATATTTGGCATAAACAGGCAATATGCACATTCTTTTTAGGCCAATCATACAAGCAAATATGTTGTAGAGTGAGAAAAACATTATACTTAAGTCAGCATTTTGCCTCAAGTCCCAGTTTTGTCTCTGACTGACTGTATTACCTTTCTGGAAATCAGTTTCTACATAATTAAAATGTGGGGATGAACTTGGTTATATCCAGATATCCTTATAACTCGTTTTTCTGTGAATTCTTAAGTGGTCTATCCAAATGGTCAACAAGTAAGCGTTGGAACAGGTGATACACATAAGCACAGTGCCTGGGGACCTGATATTGATAGGGG